GGCGAGCGAGTGGGCGCACGGGAGGGCAGGGGCTCCAGTGACGCCCCCGAGCCCAGGTTGGGCAAGAGGTGGAGCCGTGCGAATCCCCGGGCGGTGGCCGGAGTTCCCCTCCACCCAATGCGCCCAGAATCGAACGCGAGGTCCAGAAACAAAAGCGAACCATCCTCCGACACAAACAGGTTCAAAATTGCAAACACACACACACACACACACAAACGCGCACACACGCTTACACCCCGGAGACCCACAACTGCAAGAACGCACACTCGCGCGCGCGCACTCACGCAACCACAGGCACAAACTTCTCCAGAGAAGAGCAATACACAGAAATGCCCCCTCCCCCACTGCCCACTCCTTCCACCATCCTCTGTCCTTTTCTCAAAAACAAAAAAACAAAAACCTAGCTACCACTCAGCAAAGGACTGTCAGAACTTTCGAATGAGAACAAACGAAACCTATAGAAACAGACCCTTTGTGTGGATTATATTATATATAAAATGCTCCAAGTCCTGCTTGATGTCTACTTACAATGAGACTTTTTTTTCCTAAAAAAGGAAGCATCAAAAAAGGCTTAAGGTGAGATACTCAACGGGAAGTCTAGCAACAGTTTCTCTGTATTTCATAACATCTGTATAAATAGGGTTCGAAGGATTGTGTTCTCTTTTAATTTCTTGTAAATGTTCATTCGAATAGTTTTTTTTGTGAATTCCTGAAATTCAGGGAGTTTCTTTTTAATTTTCTGATGCACTTTGTGAAAGTCAGTATATATGTAAAAGATATTTAAAATGTTGAGTTACGATTTCACTCGAACACGTAAGTTAAGGTCATCTAAAGAAATTAAATGCGTTTATCTGTATGAAGAAAACCTTGACATCATATTTTCATTTTGGTATTATTAAAGAACTCTGAACACTTTTCCCCCTTAAAAAATATCCAGTTTCCCCCTCAATAACCTTTAATGTGGGATCAATTTTTTTTTTGGGTGGTGGGAAACAAATTCCTTTAATGTTAGTTGTAGGCAACGAAGTTTATATGGGTTGCAAAAGCCATAGAACATATACATTTTGAGAAGTCAAAATTATTTATTTGTATATCAACAGCATACATTAAATTGGGTTGGGTTATAAGGCCAAGTAATTGTATTACTTAATGAGAGAGCTAGCAAAAGGTGACATTTTAAATCTTTGGATCGCCTTTTTAAAAAGCAAGGTCTTTGGGCAGTTTTAACTAGGGAGGTACCTACATCTCCCAGAGGGCTCAGAGAGAATTGGTGGATTTGTTTTTAAAATCTGATTTTTAAACAATTTGTGAAAGAAAAATCTTTCTAGGAAAAAAAAAGTCTTAGTTTCCAAGGCCCTCTACGTTGGGAGGCATCTCTGGGGAATAAATCGCTAGAGTCAATACCCCGGAAAAGACATTTCATGCCTAAATGAAAATCTTGTTAAATGTTATTAATTTTGACTTAGAGCACACAGCAGCCCCCTGTGCCTTGTATTCCCTTATTAGGGATTCATGTCTTATCAAATATCTAATTAATCTCCTAGACATCATTTGTTCTGGCCAACTTTATCTCAGCTGGTCCACGGGGAAAACTCCAAATATTCTCTGTGACAAAGCTCCCTTGAAGATCTTTTTAATTGTCTAAATTAACTGCACCAAATTTGCATGTCAAACGGTAAAGGGCAACCTGAGATAAAATGTAAACGTTTTAGAAGCCCCAAACTAAGCACTTGATTTGATAACTAGGCTTTTTAATGTTAGGGAAGACAACTGCTCCTTCCCTTTTCAAAGAAGGCTGATCTATGCAAATAGTGAATTGGAAATGCCTAGGTCCCCTCGCCGTCAAATGGCCCTCGCAGGTTATTTGAATATCAGTGGCTGCTTCTGAAAAGGTTCAAGGATGCTCTCTGCCTTCTTTGTGATTACTCAGTGCGGCGTCTTATTCTGAAGAAAAAAACTCAGGAATAATTAAAGGCTGGGATCAGGCCTGGGAACACATTTGGGACAGGAATCTCATTTAGACAGTCTCTTTCAAAATAAGGCACAGTTAAATTGACCAGAAGGCAATTATTGAAATGAAAATTATTTTCAGTCTCTTTGTCTTCTGACCACCAACTTAACAGCCCCAGTTTAAAAGAGGGAGAACGGAGAGAATGACGAAAGGAAAATTGGTAAATGAGACAATTTCGCAATTTGAAAAAAATGTTTGGAAAAGAAAGTACATATTTACAGAATAAAATATTTCTAAAAGGCTTCTCACACAATAGAAACTACGAGCGAAGTCAGCATCAATAAATTTTCCCTCTTTTTTTTTTTCTTCATTCCTGGCCTTGGAAACTTAAATGAAGATTTTGATTCTTTGGAAAGAATACATTATTGATATTAACAGTGAACAGAAACTGCTCTGAAAAGCCAAAAAGCACAAGTAGCAGGGAGACAGCGGGAAGATTCCCAGCGGGGCGTCTGCAGCACGGTTCTTCCTCCTGTGGTCCCTGCCGCCCCAGCTGCCAGACTCTTCTTTCTCTAGTTTTTCTTCTCTTCGGTTCTTTTATTTCCTGGCTCCTCCACTCCTACCTGGGATTGCTCCCCCAACCCCCAGGCGTCTTCGGGTTTGGGTCTGGTCTTGGGGAGAAGCTGGCTGAGGGCGCATATTCTGGGCACTTTGGGCAAAGGCTTTGCAGGCCCGTAGGGTGCCCCGCGCGTCTGGGGGCTGTGAGTTGAAGGCGCGGAGGTGAGTGTGTGCTGGGGGTTCCTGAGAATGAGGGCGCCGGGACGTCGGTCCCCGGCAGCTTTGTTTCTTGTTGATAATAAAGACAGATCAAAGGGCCTGGCTGTGCAGGTCTCGCTCCCGGAGGGGCTCCCTCCGCAGGCCAGTGATCAAGGCCTCTGTGCGCTGCCTCTGCCCCGCGGGTCAGCCCACGTCCATCACCGCGGCTCCGGTGAACCGCGGGCGGCAGCCCAGGCCCCAGTGTCCAGCCAGACATCGAGTGCTCGGAAGCTGAGCCAAGAGGGACCCGGTCCCTGGCTCCTGTCGGAAACCCAGCAGGAGAAACGTACCAGCCCCACTCCCCCTGCCACCCCAGCTCTAGGCGTCCCCGGGGCGCGGAGAACCTTGACCTCAGTGGGTGGCGACCGACTGAAAGCTAGCAGATCGCAGAGCGTGCACCAGAGGCGAGGTCCCCAGCAGGGCCCCCAACTGAGGAGCCTCTGGGCCACCCCAGGGCCACCTCGGCATTCCCGCGGCTTGGGCCTAACTAGGTCCCGGGTAGAGTAGATGGGGAGGCCGCGGCTGCGGTTCACGCTGGGAAGGAGGGCATCGACCTGGAAGTGGGTTTTGTGAAGCCAAGGCTGAGATCTGGGGCCAGGAATCCCACCCCCGCCGGGGTGAGGGAAATGCAATTTTGTTTCATCGAGTTTCCAGAGATTTCTTGTTTCCAGCTTCCGCGCAGTAGATGAACCAAGACCAAGTTTGCTGGGCCTGCGCCTACCCGGCCCCAAACCATACTCTCCCCAGTATTTTTCTTTCTTGGCTAGTCTTTTCCCCCCATCCCTCCGCCCCGCGCGCCTCTTGGAGTAAACAGGGTCCTACCTGATGAGGAAAAGGGAGTAGAAAAAAATTCCTTCCCTCAAGGACGTTTGAAAATGAAAACATTTGGATGAGATTAGATTGTGCACCTGAACCGCGTGTCTGGACATTCCGTCAAATCGTCACCAGTCGTGTAAAATTGAATTTCTTTTTATTCACATGGAAACTTTATTTATTTTAACTCTAATCTTATTTGCATCTATTATCTGTATTCACCAAGGCTCTCTTCCACTACAAAAATGCAGATGAAGTAAATCTCACATAAATCCCGCCCATTTGTGTAATTGGTATACTAAGTGTTTATTTTAAGTGAGAATAATTTAGCTACAAATTTTCTTAAGGAATAACATTCTTAACACATTAAAAAAAACTGAAAACTCTGATTTGCTTTTATGTTTGACAGTAGCTCTTGATTCCCCCAAGAGGCGTACGGCGAGTGTGGCTCTCTGGCGCCATCTAGAGCTCCTGCCTGGGAGGTCCGCGCTGGCGGCCTGGCTCTCGGCTATTAGCGCGCGGAGACCGGCTTCTGCCTCGAACTCCGACAGCTGAAGGAAATCAAGCAAAGAAAAGCGAGGTTTTGTGTTTCAGTCGCGGACAAGTCCAGTTTTGGGGGGCCATTGCCTAGCAGTGGCTCTAAGGGAAGGGGATTATTTCTGGAACACGCTTACTGAAAAAAATCCAAGCAAAGCAGACTAACACCCTGGTTGGCCCGGTCTTAGCTTTCTTTCATTGTCTCATTTAGCATTCTTTCCTAGGCGATTTCAGGGTCTTCCAGCACTCCTAGAGGAGAAAGCTGAACGCTGTCGGGAGCTGTAGTGACGGGGACCCGGGATAGAGATCCCGAGGTGGGCACAGCTTGCCTCGAACACTTCGCCCAGAAGTACTGGGATGGAGGGCTGCGGGATCTTAGGGTCTGAGTGGACTACCCAGGACCGGCGGGAACGCGACGCACTCAACCAGGTCACCAAGCCCTCTGCAGGTTCCCAGAACCCCTAGGACGGGAGGGAAAAGCCAGGGTCCCGAGGCTATGGCCAGCCTGGACCCAGCGACCAGCGCGGCAGCCCTCTGCAGGGGTTCAGTGCTTTGGGAGGCGACCACTGCCCGAGTGGGGCGCAGGGGGCATCAGGGTTGGCCGAGGCGGGGCCGTGAGCGCGGGGCCCCGGAGGGCTACCAGGAGCCGCCAGAGCCCTCGCCCCAGGCCCTCCCGACGGGTGCGCACCCCCTCCCAGAGCAGACCCACCCCTTTTGTCCTCGCCTTTTCGAAACCCAAATCTGAAATGAGATAACAGTTGGGGGCGTTGGCCAATTTTCTCTTCTCTGTGCTTCGTCCTGCCTCCCGCCGCCCCCTTCCCTCCTCTTCCTAGTCCACCACCCCTCCCCCCACCCAGGAGCCTTCGACGCCTCGCAGCGACTTTCTCCCCTTCCCCCCTCAGCAGTTATTGTATTTTAATTTAAAAAGCGACACCTTCCAACCCCGCGCCCGCCGGAGGAAGAAAGAAACGCAGTCACCCGAAGCTGTGAGAGAGGAACTGAGGCTCCGGGGTGCCGGGCTCCCCAAACTCAAGCCAGGGAAACGCAGCGCGCTTCTGGGAATTCAACAGCCACCTTTGTAGCGGGTACTCGGCTGGGTTTGTATTTGCTGTTTTAATACAAACCCCGCCGCACTGCCTGTTTCAAAGATGTGCTAATTACTACTTGGATAGCAGGGCGCAAAGTCCTTGTCCATTTCCCAGTACAAAGTAGGTTGCTAGAAAATTTGAAATTGCCTTTCAGCCTAAAGCTGCCTTACCTGAATGTCATAATTACAGTAATTATGTACATCCAAATTACATGCTAATTAAATTAGAATCAAATCGTTCTAAATCGAAATCAAATGAGGTAGTGAAGAATTAATCAATGACAACATAAATAGAGCGCTTCCTTCAGAGATATTTATTGTAACGATCCAAGGAGGAATTTGATCTGAAAAAGTCACCTGTTTATTTACTTTCAAATTAGTAATCAGTTATTATCCCTTCTCCATAATTTTAACCGTTCAGTGCTATTTACCCCCCACCCTTCCCAGACGCTGGAGTTTATAGAAATATGTATGAGGTAAATATACAGACTTGCCTCCCTATATATTATTGATATAAATGTGTACGGTGTTTGGAATTGGAGTTAAGGTTTCCGAATGTCCGTGGGGACGCATTCCTCCAGTGTCAGTTGGCCCGGATCCGGGAAAGCTTAGCGTCTGAGCTGTAGGTTTTTCCAGACCTAGCCTTCTTTTGCTTTGGAAATTCACTGGGGATTTTGCATTGTTTCGCAGGCATCTTGCCACTTCGGGGGTGATTCATTGATGAAAGAAATGCAAAGTGATAGGGTGTGACTCCCTTGGTCCGCTTTCTTCTGGTAGGTTGTTAGTGAGAGTTGATATTTTCTGCTCCCGCGCCAGGAGCCAGGGATTAGTATTGGCTTCCCCAAAGCGCAGTCTTCACCTGTGGCATCCCAGAGAGCAGAAAAATTCTCTCGCCTTCCAAGCCCCGGCGGGCGAGTGCGCCCTGCGACCCGCACAGGGAACACGTGCAGGAGGCCCGACGGGCTCTGGCGGGGACAGGGCGGCAAAGGCCAGGCTCCCGGGAGCGCCGAGCCTAGCCGAGGGACCTGGGAGAGTCTTCTGGCTGGGTTTGGACCACGGCGGGTCAGAGCCCGGGTGGGTACCCATGCAAAGAGCTAATCGGTCCCTATCTCGTAACGCGTGTGGGCAGAAAGGGCGGGAGTGCGCCCCTGAATTCCCAGCTTCTCTCTATGTGCTGTGCCCCAGGTTGCCAGGTGAGAATCCCAGAAAGGCCCCAGGGGATGCAGGGTGCCGCGGCATCTGCGGAAGGACCCGCCACACCTGTTCAGGACTCACCCTATCACCCTCCCCGGCCCTTGGCTTCTTTCGGGTTCAATGTGATGCACTTCGAAGTGGGGATCTGGTCGATTCTGAAGGCTCGGCATCCCGGAAGTCATTGACAGGGAAGGGTCAGTGATTTCCCATGTCTCCAGTGGCGGGTAGGCGACCCCAGGGCAATTCAGCCGGCCGGATGCTTCTATGGCACTCAGACCTTCGCGCGTCTCCGCAGGCAGCTCTACAGTACTGGGTACACGGTGGGGCTCTCTGGTGCTAAGCAAGAGGTAAAGCGTGAAAAACCGGGAAGGTGGTAAGAATTCTCTGCTTGCTTTCCGGCAGAAACTTCAAGTCAGGAAAGCGTTCAGTTCTATGGGCTCTTGCTCCTCTCGTTTACCAACAGTGTTTCAGATCTGAACCGGCTCCAAAAGCCGCCATTGCAGGCCTGTTAACAATTGTCAAAAACTGTAGTGAACTTTATCTTTTCAGAAAGTCTAAATAAAAGTGCGGTGTGTGTGTGTGCGCGCGCATGTGCCTGCTCCTTGGTCTTAGGCAGAGTGTGGAGAATGCGGCCTTCCTGAGAGGCTTCCACCAGCCTCTTGCCCATTAGGTCGAATGCACGAAATAGTCCTTGAACTCCGATCTTCAAGGCTAAAGGAAACGAAATTCTGTGACTGAAACTGAGAAACGCCTACTCCAACAGCGGGACTGAGGGGATTCGCTATCTGCCAGTGGTCCCATAAAGGAATCTGGAAGAAATGTCTCTCCATAACCTGTCAGATAAAAAGCTTTGTTCATATTGCAAGAGTACGATTTAAGCAAGATTCATGTCACACTGCCAGGTGAACATTCCTGCCGCTATGGTAGCAACTTCTGCCTATTAGGGCAATTATTAAAGGAAATTATGACTAATTTCCTATGTAGACATCCAGATAAACAAACCCTGACCTCACAACCCGATTTTTTTTCCTGGCCATTTGTAAATCGACAGCGCCTCCTACAGGAATTAATGCGTCAGTGTTAAGAGGCCAGGGAGAAGGGATGGTCCCAAAGTTGGACCTATCCACATAAAAAATGCTGAAGTGTGCCCACATTTATTTAAAAATAATTTTCCTATTTAGGGCAAGAAGAATATTCCATGTCTAGATCTCTGGAAACGTCACTGTTAACTTTAGTTTACATCCATTGAACCGGGACTATTCCAGTACTTACTAGAGGTCTATTTTTATTTATAAGATTATTTTCAGTCCCATCCCCTGTATCACCGTAGCACGCAGAGCGAGCTTCGGGAAGGCTGCTGTTACCGTGTTTTTATGTAAGTAAACGCCTCCCTTCCATCTCTAAGTTAATAATAAAATCAGAATACTGGCTCACTGCGGTTGTCTGGCATCCTCAGCGTCAAAGGCAAAAGCCAAACTGAAGATGCATGTGATCTTTAACCACTGGGAAATCTCCCTCAGAACCGGGTGGGTAAGGTTAGAGCCTTAAAAATTAGTCCCTTATGGTTTAATATTCTCAACAGGAAGGATTAAATCAAAGATTAACTGTAGGGGCTACCTTATAAAGTTAAGGGGTGTCAGCACATTTTGGTGAAAGTCAAAGTGTAAGAAACAGTATTTAATTCATTCTTAATTATAGGATGCATTTCAACATTTTTCTTCATGAGCACTGTATTGGTGTGGAACCCTCTTTTAAGGCAGTAAGTATTGCATAGGTTTTGACATTACCAAAATTATAAAGTCTAAAAAGGTGTACGGTAGAAAATAATCACAGCGACACTGATGAACTCAGGGTGTAAATTAGCCTTTATCAATTTCAAATGCAAGCTTTTTAAAGTGAAGGAGTAGGATCTCTGAGGTGTGCTGGGAGGCATTAAAGGATGTGGTGAAGGGGCTCGGTTGCTCTCAGGTCTCCTTCATCTGCATAATCAAAGGGCTGTTTACACCGCTACATCACAGGACATCTGCGCATGCAAACGTGTAGTAGACAGGGAGCAGTTTTAACTCGGAAAATTTTATTTTCTTCAGAACTTGGAAATTGTGACTGTCGTGAAAATCAATTTTTGTACTAAATAAGAGATGTTCTTAAAAAGTGAAACTCTGATCAAATAAATATTTAATCCATTCACAACAGGAAAAAATTTTTGAACTGCATGCCATGTGTAATTTGTATAAAATTTTTCCATAGCTTTACTAGTCCTTTGGAACATATGGCAAAACCTGTAGCTAAATTCAAAAAAAAAAAAAAAAGAAAAAGAAAAACCACTTTACAAATGGCTTGGTCCACATAGTGAGCTCCAGACTAGCAAGGACTACCCAATGAGAGTTAGACCCCGTTTCAAAGAAGAGGAACCCCTCCCATGTTAAAGTAAAATATATCTAGTTTATATTGTTTCTTTGTATTTTGTAATATAAATGTTTTGCGTTTTGAAGAAAAACCTTGTAATGATACGTCTAATATTAGAAAGGGTATTGTGGTAGGCAGAATAACCAGTCCCCAAAAGATATACATGTCTCTAAGCCCTGGCACCTGTGAATGTTACATTATATGGAAAAGGAAGATTTCAAGTGCAGATGAATTAAGGTTGACAATCAGCTGCCAATTTAAATGTGGAGATTATTCTGGATTTGTCAGGTGGACCTGCAGTGTTTACAGGGGTTCTTAACAAGAGGTGTATGCAGAATCAGGGTTGGAGTGACCAGATGCAGAAAAGACTTGCCTCCACGTTGTTAGCCTTGAACTATAGAACAGGGGGCCAGACGCCAAGACTGGGCAGCACAGAGGTTTCAGAAGGAAGACCACTTCACTTATGCCTTCATTTTATCCTACTGAGACCCATGTAAGAATCCTGATTTTCACAACTGTTAAGTTTAAAGAAATTTCGTATGCCAACGTGGACAAATAATAGGGCATTCAATAATAAATATTATACTCTGTAGAAAAAAACCCAGGCTTTTAAAGCCTTAAGGAAATACTGATCGATATCCAGTGTTTTTATTTGCCCTACTGAATTTCATCACTTACATTTTGTTTCAAGTAAATTCAAATCATAAAATAACAAATTTGAACTGATAATCATTCACGGTTGTCACTGTTTTAATGTTATTTCAAAACAACAACAAAATCACAAATGACTTAACATATTTTAAATTTGGTACAAGGCATAAGAAACAGCTACCAACAGAAACAAAACTCCTATCCCCTAAACAGAATCCCTACAAAGATCTGCGAACTCAACCTTGTGGTACTCAGTGCTTTCATACTTGAAATGATAGTTTATAGAGAAGGAAAATTAAGAAGACTTTTCTTTATTAGATAACAATGTGCAAGTTAGCCCTTGCTGAAGATACTCGGTAAGAAAAAGGAGTCCTTCAGTCCTAGACAGCTGTCCCCGCTGCTCCTCACCGCGCACTGGCTCTCCTACAGTCGCCATGGCCATGGCTTCTGGTGTCCTTTCTTCTGTCCCTGTCCTCATGAGGACTCCTGCTTCGGCTCCTCCTGCAGCTCTCAGCCCTGCTGTGACTTCCGATTCCCCCGTTCCTGTCAGACCCTTTCTTCTCTGGACTATGACGATGGCTTCTGGACTTCCGGTCAGAACCAGAATGGATCCGCTTGCTATTCTCCCCAGGACTCTCTTGTTTTAGGAGCCTCAATTTTTCCACGGTTCTTCCCCTGTCACCGTGACTGCTAGAAAGTTCTTCATGAAGCTTGTTCTTAGACTTATCCTCTTTAGAGTCACCGGCTTTACTGCCTGAACATTTGGTTCTCTTCTTTTTCTTCCTCTTCTCTCTTTTCTTCTCTTTGCTATCACTCTCACTGCTGCTTTCTGAAGTGTCAGAAGAGGAGGAGGAGGAGGAGGAAGCGGAGGAGGAAGAGGAAGAAGAGGAGGAGGAAGAGGAGGAGGAAGGGGATTTGTTTTTATGTTTTCTATGTTTACTTCTGCTCTTCTGTAGCTTTTTCTTTTTCTTATCACTTTTCTTTTTCTTTTTTTTCTTTTCAAGTCTATCCAATTTCCTATAGTTGGAAAGAAATAGTTCTTTCATCAACAAAAGAGAAACTGCCAACGGACATATCTCCTTAGACGCTAGTGAAAATGTTGTCCACATCTAAATACATTATTTACTTTATTTAATGATAAATCATTTGCTTCTCTTTAAATTACTAAGGCATGTAGACACTGAATAGGAATTTAAATTAAGCCAACTTCTAACTATACTTCAATGGGAATGACTGTTCTTTTGATAAAGCATTCCTATGAGTCAGATATAAAATTATTTAGCATTCTAAATAAAATGGTTTTCTTGATTTAAAGAAAACCTGAGAAAGATGTGTAGCATTAATGGGACCTATGCACAGTTAGATAAAAGAAAGGTTCACCTTATGTCTATGTTTTAAGTGTGGAAACATTAATTAATATCACTGGGCAGTGGTGGTACACCCCTACAATCCCAGGACTCAAGAGACAAAGGCAGGTGGATCTCTGAGTTTGAGACCATTCTGGTCTACAGAGTAAGTTCCAGGACAGCAAGGGAAACACAGAGAAACCCTATCTTGAAAAAACAAAAACCAAAACCAACTAACAAAGAAACAAAAACCCCACCAAAACCAAACCAAAAATGAAAATTGAGGATTAGAATATAGTTTGATATTACATAAAACAATTATACGCTAGTTCTCAGCAACTGTTTAATTTTAGAAATAAAACAGTTCCACTGCTTTCTGCATTTTTAGTCTGGAAAGCATAGATTGTCTAGATGGGAGTTCTGAGTCACTGAGACACCAGCCTCTTGGTTCTGCAGTCATTCTCCAGGTACCGAAACATGGCGAGCGCCCTCTATTGGACTTGGCAGATCTTGAATTCTTTAGTTCACAGGGAGTGTGTTTAACAAATTTAAGCATTACTATAAATTTAAACATTCTTTCAATATTCCTCAAAAAACCTTCAAAAATGTAAGAAAAAAACATAAAATACTTTCTAAGAACAAGTGGTGTGCAAGATATATCCAGTTTTATTAAGAAAAGTAAACTTCCAAATTAAATATTCAGAAGGTACAACAGCTTGGTAGTATAATATGAGGAAACAAACACTAATTTTCTTATTACTGAAAAAAATCGATCAAGCAAGCAACCCATCCACAGTCTGCGTAGGAGCTGAGCGCAGGGCCCAGGTGAGACAGTGGAGGAGCCCATCGCATATGCGCCCCTTAGTTACCTGAGGAGCTTCTGTTTCTGCTTGGTCGTCAGCGACTTCAAGAACTCAACCTCAGGGTCTTCTTCACCATCACTCGCGACATAGTCCTGAGTCAACAAAGAATCCGATTGCTCGATTTTAGACAGGCTAGTTACTAGGCAGGAAAGAAAGCTCTTATAGCTGTGTCATTTGTGTCAGATGGTGTGGTACTTGGGACTGCAGTGTGCGGGGTGAGACTATTTCTGCTAAGCTAGACTAAAGGTTCATACAACTGCTTTGTAACTCCTGGAGACTGTCAGGACGTGGAAGATAAGGACAGACAGAAGCTTTACAGCAGGCTGCTGTACTCACACTTTAAACACTTACTGTCTAAATACAGCATTTCTAGTTTAATGAACTATAAAAACCAAGAGCATCATGAGGGGCTGGGACTACAGCTCCATAAAGAACACCCACCTAATATGCACATGGCCTGGCTGCAAGCCCCAGCAGCACAAATATAAAAAACTAAAGACCATGAACTTAGATCAAAAATATCAGTAACTTTAAACTTTATAATTATAGCACTTTATTATAAAAAAGGCAGTAATACAGCCTTTTAAACTCAAGCAAGGATAATGTCTCAGGGTATAAAGGCACCTGCCACCAAGCCTGATAACCTGAATTTTAATCCCTGGAATCCACAAAGTGGAGAAAATTGACTCTTCCAAGTTTTCCTCTTGATTTGCACTGGCACATATACTCATATGCATGCCTGCACTAACAAACATGCAGCACACTTGTACACACACGCACATGTACAGTTCATACACATACAAAATGCAATAAGTTTAAAAACTTTTAACTTTCTGAATTTACGAACAGTTTAATAAATAAGTTTAAAGCATTTTCTATAATACCCAGGGAGCTGTTTATAGACTTCTATTGGCTCAGTTTAATGTCATTTCAAGGGTGCGTTAGCAGGAAGGAGCAAACAATCCCATCACCAGTTCAGTTAGATATTTTATCCACATCAACCCAAAGGAGCCATTTCATTTATTAAAATATAGGTTTATAAACAATTTCTCATTTAGGTTAAAGTAATAAAGTAGCAAAATCAAAATACATTTAAAGCATTTTCTTTGCTCTATCTTACTTTCCTATGGATATATGCATATTGGAAAACATTAAGTAGCAATTCACAAGCAATCACATTTAGATTTCCAGACATTTTCAGCTTACTGATAAAAAGATCATTACCTGTGACGGATCATTTGCGGTCAAGTTTCTCCCCAGCACATTTCGTTTCAGTGCAAACCCACTGTTTCTCATCTCCGCTATTAGCTCCGAGGGGTGCATCGACGGCCCTGTTCACAAAAATCACAGTTTGAATGTATCATTTATATCTCTCTACCTTTTTTGGACTCCACAGTAGGAATGCAGTTGAAGCTTTGTTAAGTAAAATCACAGCTAAATCAACTCAATAATCTTCTGCTGAGCAAATAATCAGATATGATTTTCTAAAACAGCAGTCTGGAGATTCAGAATAGAAAATAATTGCATTTTTCCTTACGTGCAAGGGGATGCTCAGCTTATGTAACTCTGTCATATTGAAATGTCTACTTGGAAGTTTTTAGTATAAAATAAAAACAAAATAAATTAAATTTTAACCATTAATCTCAGTAAAAATTCACTTTATTTTTTTTAATCAAATACCAATACTGAATATACTAACTACCAATACCACACACACACACACATACTCAGGCACTTCAGTTATTAATTGCATTTAGATATATATGTACCTGGAACGTGAAACTTGTAATTACTGGGGTTAGTGACAAGCAGTTTGAGGCTAGCGATAGGTGTGCACCTCTATTCTATCATAGACTAGCTACAGGTACGCATACTTTCTATTTCCCACAAACTGTTGTTTTTGCTTTATCCTAAGCTGGAAGCTGAGCTGCTTTCTGGTCTCATAGTATATACTAACAAAATATTTAAAGGTCTGCCCCCTTTCCTCATCATGGGACCTACTCAGGTTAGGAGACTCTTTCTTCCCCAGCTATACATTCTCGTCGCATTTTTGCTTTCTCTGAAGGTCAGAAACTAGAAGACAGCACATGACCTCAGGTGATGCATCTATACCACAATGTGGTAGGAGAGAGCCATCTCACATGAGGAGACGGGATAGAGAAGATAGATCCAGAAGATCTCTATATTTCTCTCCCTCTGCTCTTTTGTCCTCTCCCCTTATCTGAGTGTTCAGCTGCAGACCACTCTGACAATCAGAAGTCATGCTGCTCAAGCCTCTTCACTTGTCAACAGCAGCTTTGGTGAAAAAAGTTTAGGCATTAGATGAATAACTTACTGAATTTCCAGGCCTTACTATTCTCTTAAAATTGCCAAGAAAAACTATATACCTGCTGGTCTATGTTCTAGGTATGAGACACGCATGGCAGGGGGAATTACCCATGATGGGAGCATGGGGGTAATTCTATGGGGGTAATTTCTATGGATTATTTTACATAATTTGCTTGCTAGCATTAATAAAACCTTAAATAAAATTTGAATTTTAAGTATTAGTTGCCTCTGAATGAATAAAAGTAGTCATGCAACTAATGTTTTAAATAAGTAACAAAGGTCACTTTGGTGGCTTTCCAAGTTTCATATGTAGGAACAAATTTTATAAAGAGGAAAATGGGCCTTATTATTAACAACATTAATTGATACCAGACAAACTCAGAAAGCACACATGCTGTGGCTAGGGCTGAAGCTCAGGGCTAGAGCACCTGACTAGCCTGAACAGGGTTCTGTGTTGGGTCCCCAGAAACACATGCCCAAAGGCAAACATGGTAAGGATGAGGAGCCTGGTTCTTAGAGTGAGAGGTTACTTTAAATTTCATTATCTTCATCACAGGAGGAGCAATTTTAGTATTTTAAAAACAATGTCTTTACACTAATTCTAACTACTTGAAAATGATCTTTCCTGTGTGGCAGATAATAAAATTATGAAATAAACGCTCCAATTTTAGCATGAGCTTCCTTTCGTAGGGACTGTAAGTACAGCGCTCAGTGACATGCCTGACAAAAGTCATCATTATCAACAGCATCCAGGCTACTTTCACGACTATTTTAGGATATTTTTCAAAAAGTTCTCTTTGGGGTTGGAGAGATGGCTCAGAGGTTAAGAGCACCGACTGCTCTTCCAGAGGTCCTGAGCTCAATTCCCAGCAACCACATGGTGGCTCACAACCATCTGTAATGAGATCTGGTTCCCTCTCCACACGCCAGAACACCGTCTACATAATAAATAAATAAATCTTAAAAAAGGGCTCTTTAAGCAGTCTTGGGCATCACGTATAGGTGTGTGTATGGCTGGGGTAGA